CCCCCACACACACACAAATACGTAGATATATATATATAGCATTGACACCATCCATGTACGTTTGTGTGTACTTCCAGGGCCCCAGTTACTACCCCGCCTCCCACCCTGCCCTCCCCACCGACGAGATCTTGGAGCACCCGGCCCTGTACAAGCTTGTACTTGACCTTGCCAGCATGCTGGAGGTCAGAGGCCTGTTCGCGGAGCCCGGCGACGTGGATATATCGGCATAGACCTGGAGACTGGGGGCAGCTGTCGCTAGGTGCTTGGGCATTTCTTCACATCTGTCTTTACATTTCACGTCTGCATTGGGTTGTTTTTTTAAAATAAGGAAAGTTTTGAGAAGTTGTGTGGTTTTTTTCTTCTTGTGAAGGTGTGTTTGAAGCGGTGTCAGGCACTGTTGAGCTGTGGTTGAGAGGGCGTTGAGTGCCAGTCGGCTTCCAGCCATCGATAGTGAATTGTTTTAAATGTTCGAGCAGAGAAGATGGGGATGATTATATGGGAGCTTACCTCCCTCATTATATGGGAGCTTACCTCCCTCATTATATGGGAGCTTACCTCCCTCATTATATGGGAGCTTACCTCTCTCATTATATGGGAGCTTACCTCTCTCATTATATGGGAGCTTACCATCCTCATTATATGGTCGCTTTTAAAGACAAGTGGGCTAACCCAGATTTCGGGGGTTTCCAGAAATCTTGACCTACACCAAAAGTGGGCATTGCCCTACCTATTGGAGAAGTTTGGTTTCATTGGTGTGTATATTTGTTTGGTTATAGAGAAAACTCTCCTTGTCTTTTAAAGAAACTGAACAAGGGTCCTAAAACTTTACCTTCGATTTTCTCAAACCAGCATTTTTTGGGATAGCCCACTTGTGCTTAAAAGCGACCTTATGAGAGTTTATCTCTTACATTTTATGGGAGCTCACAGCGAGTAGTGACAGTGTGTCTCCGTTTTTCTTCTCTCAGTGATTTTATTCTGAGTGTGCTTGAGTCTTTATAGTCTTTATTCTCTAGACGGCTGGACATTTTTTCCATGTTTACTGAAAAGTCCGGAAATTTTCGTACATTATTTTAACTCTCAACAGGTCTTTGGTTTTTTTTAGAAGAAGCGTGCGTGTGGAGGGTGACTGATGAGGGACGTTTGTCTTGAGATGTGAGCACATCTCTCCTGAACTGTTTGTTTGTGTGTGAGCGATTAATCTGCTGCTGGAGCTGTGTATGCTTCTCTGGAAGCTGAGACTGTTTCTGAGTGTTCTATGGTCTGTTATATCAAAGACTTTCACATACCCCCCGGGGTAGTGCCACTGACTGAAGTGTCTTTAGGCCATTCCCAAAGGGGGGACATTTCTCGTTCATGCACAGTAGAATTGTAAATGGGCTGATTCATCAATGTCACGCTCATAACTGTGCCTGATGTGCAACAGGGAACTGCTGCTTTTTCTTTCCGTATCCTTACTATCGTCATTTTTCCTCTACTTCTTTTGTATGTTTGTCACACTCTTGTGACCCGCTATTTCCGGGGTGCCTTGATAGTCGAAGCAGACTTTGTGCTGTTGAGGCTAGAGAGGTGAGCAGAGTAAGTCTGATTCCCCGTTTGCACTTCTCTGTTGACATCCACCCCTAGGTGCTCATATGACCTTATGCAGTTGCGAGCGCCGTAAAACCTCTACTTAAACGAAAACTAAAAGACTTTCTCGTCAAAGGAGGCAGTTGTGGAAACACAGTGGATTGTTGGCTCAGCCAATCTGATCCCGCTGAACAAACGGAGATAAAAACACACATTGATTGAGGTAACATTACTTACTTTTGTCCTGAAGAATGCTTCTGTTCCTTCTGTTCCCACCCGTGGCATCCGAAAAGTTTGGGACTTTTTCTGTAGTCAGTGAGTAGTTCTGTAAGGAGACAGGAAGCGAGGACTTGACATATTTATAGCAAGCTGTTCCGGTGGTTGCCAGTGGTAGAGTTACGCAAATATATCGTTTTATCATCCAGGTTTATTTGGGTTTTTTTTGCACAGTCTCATTTTCTGGTTGCAATTACCAACTACTTATTGTCATAGTGTCGTTCTGCATGCATGTCATTGTCTCTCTATTATAATCTGCAATGGAACAATCCTAACAGGTCTTCATAATATGTTGGGTTTTTTATCCAAGCTGCTTAGATCTGAATGATTAAGTCTATATGTGTTATCATACGTTGATGGAAAGTAGAGATTTGTGTGTGTGTGTATGTGTGTGCATTTCCTTGTGCGTGCTTGTGTGTGATTGTGTCTATGTGTGTCTATATGTGTGTGTGTGTGTGTGTGTGTGTGTGTGTCTATGTGAGAGAGAGACAGAGAGAGACTGGGCAGGG